CTGTTTTGAAATGGGACTATTTTTGTTACTGCTGTTAATAAACCCTGGGATTCAGAAATCCTTGGAAATAGACCTTCCTCTATCTACCTTTTGCAAATAGCTGTGCTGCAGTGCATGAGACTACTACTATAATTTATCTGTAAAGATAGATGATCCACAATTGGTTTTACAATCAGTAGGTTATTTCTTCGTTCCCCCACCATTAAATGAGTGGGTTAACACATTTTCCCACCTAATTTGATTTTTGTTTATTACTGTAGTATGCAATGCAAAAAGAAAATATTGAAAATGCTGTTCCAAAAATTATGGTCACAGTTCAGCCAAAAGAAAGGATATTTACATTTCATTGATTCCAGTGGTGAAGCATTAATTTGTGTTTATTTCTATATGGAATCGATGGAAGTTAGAAGTGCTTGCTACTGATTGGATAGTACCCAATGAACTGTAATATTTACTTATTAAATTGTCAGTTTTTGTGCACATCTTTCACTACCTGAAAAGAAACCTGTCTTCAAACTTTGAGTATGTGCACATTTATCCTAATATCATAGAAATGATTGGGTCTGCTCTGAAGAAAACCTATTAAGTTTAATGGTACACACCAAAAAAGCGAGACTTCTTGAAATAACAAATTGTAGCATTCTTTCCTTATCTTCTCTTTTTAGTTTCAAATGAATGCAATTACTATTGCATATTCATAAAAGTTCTGTATACATTTATTGCTCTGTAGCATTCTATTTTGAGTCGATTTACTTTATAATTAGCATTCCTGCTATTGTTACTGCTCTGATTGATAGATCAACATGTTTATGCTGTTATGTGTCTGTAACAGCTTGCGAGTATAATATTCCTTCTCTAATTTCACAAATCTTTTTTTCTTTATTTCTATGGATTTTGCAAGAAAGCTCCCTTTCCTTTTTTCAAGATTTTTTTCCTTTATAGATAGGCATTGCTGATTTTAGGTCCTTCCACTGAACATGTAACATGTAGATATAGCTCCATGGTATAGTTTGCCATACTAAAAGTCCCAGGTCTAAACATTGGAATCTTTAGTCAGAGTTCTGGAAATTAAGTGCCAGTTAGTGGAGACAATAAATGGATAAATGAGCAATCTAATTCAGTAGACGGCAGATTTTTTATATCTATAACACCTGAACACCACAGAATGCAATCCTATACACAACATAAATCAAACTAATTTGAGCAAGTGAGACTTTACCTTGTACATACATGTTATAAACGAATCCCCAATAATATAGTTTGACACAACTTCAACTGCCATGGTCTTTAGCCTTCTGTGTCAAAGTATGCTCATGCCTCACCAAATTACAAATGCCATGGTTTATCAAGACAACCTGCATTGAACCGATGCTCCTACACCATCAACTCCACTTGACTGGCCACATTATCCGAATGTCTGATCACCATCTCCCAAAGCAGTTACTATTCTCCCAAGTCAAGAATGGGAAACGTAATGTTGGCGGACAGGAAAAGAGATTTAAAGATGGGCTTAAAGCCAACCTTAAAAGCTGTGGCATATACATCAAGAACTGGGAAGCCCTGGCCCTTGTGCACTATAACTGAAGGTCAGCTGTGACCAGCAGTGCTGCAGATTTCAAAGAGGAATGAATGGAGAGCGAAAGGGAGAAACGCACCAAGAGGAAGGCGCATCAAGCCAACCATGACCAGGACCTCCTTCCACCTAGAAACCAATGTCCTCACTGTGGGAGAACATGCAGATCAAGAATAGGGCACCACAGCCACCTACGGACCCACCGCCAAGACACTACATTTGAAGGACCATAATCCTCGGGCTACGAGGGATTGCCTAAAGCAAATAATCCATTGCATTGCACCATGGCTGTTAAAGTGGTGTCCAGCTGTATTCATTCTATGATGTAGTGTACCCTTAGTCATAAAAAGACCAAAGTATTGCTAGATGTTTCTTCTTCTCTTCACCCACTCCCACACCCAGACACAACTTGTAGCTATTGGGTAGTGACCTTGATGCTGTGATATAGTCAAATTTGTATTTTTTAGAATTTATGGAAATGCAAAATTGAAATAGGGAGCATCCTGATGTGAACACTGACTTTTCATTTTAGAAAAGCATGTTTCTCACTCCTAAGATCACAATAATAGTAAATGCATGCAGACAATGTTTAGTGCTTTCCTCAAAGCCAAAATGTTTTGAGGTAGAGGTCCCAATACTTCAGATAAGACAAGAATGATGCTCCTTAAGCTTTTCAAATGTGTCATCTTACAATTTTCATCAGTCCCACTCATGATGAGGGCTTATAATACCAACAGAATGTTATATAATATTTATTATCCTACCCTTTGATTGTCATAATGGGATAGGCTGTGCACATATTAGATATTAACATTTCTCTAATTTCAATGATTCTACAATCATTTTTATGTATCATTCCTCCAATATAAGCCTCTCTGTGGTCAATGGTATTGTTAAGTAATAATTACAATGACATTTCCCTATGTTGTTTTGCCTCCATCTGTGGCTGGCATCTTCAGAGGAAGATGTCAGTCACAGATGCAGGTGAAATGTCACGAGAAAATGCTGCCAGAACACGGCCATACAGCCTGGAAACCACACAATACCTCAGCGATTCAGGCTGTAAAAGCCTTCTACAATACATTAGTAACTACAATCTTTTTTGTGTATCCAATGCCTGGGCTTTTTGGTGTGCACATGAAGTGGAATAAGGTTTATTTTAGTGGCTACCAAAATTAAACTGACACAAGTAGCAGGTTTTTTTTAGTTGTGGTGAGATTGGAATCTGTTAGTTGATGTTAGGTCATGTATCCTTTTAGATACTGTGAAAAGCTTGCAGATCAGATGCCCAGTAAAGGCAAAGAGTAAACCAATCCTGTGTTCCAGTCAAATGATAAGTCAAATGATAATGTGATATCATCTCAGAGAATGGCCAGAGCTTTTACAAGTATAGAGAAAGAGTAAGCATCCTGTTACCTTCCTACTGTTTAAGGCTACAGCTCCTGCAGGTAGTAGCCAATACAGTTCATGGTCAGGGATTCTGGCAGATATAGCCTCAAACATCTTCAAAGTTCTGTAACCTGTGACTTGTGTAAAATGCCCCCACTCTGGCAGTAATTTTGCTCAAAGAACTCCAAGGATTTTATTTTCTTACAGTTCTTTTCTTCTCCCCACCCCCCGCCCCCATTGTTACCCAAAATAAAAAATTCAGCCTTGGAAAGACTCCTATGTGGGCAAAACAATCATGACTAAAAAGAGAAAGCAACAGCTGTAGGAATGACAATAAGGAGGAGATGTTTACAAAGAGACAACTTCTGAGAGGTGTGTGGGACTGTGTTCATCATCACCTCCCACCTCTTCAAAATGTTGTGCATTTTAAAAAGATTTACCAAAAAAGAGTTCATAAAAACCAAAGTCTTCTCCTGTTGGTATTGGAAGAGAGGAAAAACTAGCCATCTAATGGTGTTTTAAGGTGTTTAAAATATATTTAAAAATTACAAATTGCATATTTTGCAGTTTATATATTTAGGTATTTGAAGTATTGTTACCCCACTCTTCAGCAAGCTAATAGTAAAAAAAAATGTATCTGCCTTTAGGCTTACAATCTCAAACAAATATGTGAAACTGAACCCAAATTTATTCATTTCATGCCATTGACTGTTGACTAGGGGTGGTGGGCACTCCAGTCCAACATCTGGGGAGCCGTAGTTTTCTTTCAATGTTCTAAAAAAAATGGCACAAGAAGAAAGTAAACTCTGATATCACTTGCTAAAGTTGCAATGCTCTTACAATTACCAGCTTGAATGGAAACAATTCAGGATCATGTGTGTGTGTGTGTGTGTGTGGGTTTTATTTTTGTTTGTTTTTGTTGTTGTTGTCAGGAATGACTTGAAAAACTGCAAGTCGCTTCTGGTGTGAGAGAATTAGCCATCTGCAAGGATGTTGCCCAGGGGATGGCCGGATGTTTCTGATGTTTTACCATCCTTGTGGGAGGTTTCTCTCATGTCCCCGCATGGGAAGCTGGAGTTGACAGAGGAAGCTCATCCACATATGTGTGTGTGTGTGTGTTATGTGTCAATGACTAGCACCAAAAGATGTACAAATGTCAGATTAGGAACATATACATTTAGGAATTAAGAAACACTGAGTTTAGGATCATGTGCAGTGTCTTCATGCATAGCACAAGTTCTCCCATTGACTATTCAGAATGGTCCATCTCCTTGTTAGGAGAACAATAAAACTAGTTTCCAAACCAAATGAAGAGGTTTGCTCTGGGTTTTTCTCTCTTTTGCTCACTGGCTTATTATAGCTAGAAATAAGATCACCTTAAATCGCTACTGTATAGTGCAATGTCCACTTCCTGTGTTTTTATATGATGTCTACTTTAATCTAGTTATATTTTTATTTGTTTAATTTGTTTTATGTTTTAGGTTTTGTGCATTTTAAATTTGTTGTAACCTGCTTTGAGTCCTTATCTTGGGAAGAGATGGGATAGAGGTGATGATGATTTTGATGATGATCTTATCCTAAATGTGGGGTCTGATCTTCAGAGTGCACTTTAGCCAAGGGAGTGAAAGATCACAGAAGTTTATTTAAGTGAAAAGGTGTCTGAAGAAAAACCACAGAGTTCAAAAACATGTCTGTGGTCTTGATGTACTAGCTCCTGACTCCAGCTGGTACTATCAGTTTGCTACATTACATCTCTGTCGATCTACACAAAACCAAAATACATAGCTGAGAAGATCAAAACATGAGGGATGAGAGAACCAACTGTTTTGATTAAATTAGCACTCCTGACTCACAGGTCCTAGTTTCCCCAATTCCACATGTCATAATCAACAACAATTGACATTATTTCATACTCCAGACATGAATTGTAGCATAATTATTCAACATAGCACCACAACGTTCTGATCTACAGAACAAATTGTTTACTATTTCTGGACTTATAACATCCAGGAATAATATCCTTTTCATACAATTCCAGGGAAAGGTGAACAAGGAAAGCCATATCCGCTCACAGAAGAAGACAACGATGATTCTGCTTATCGGGAAAATGGGTTCAATATTTTTGTGAGCAACAATATAGCCTTGGAGCGATCACTGCCAGATATCCGCCATCCTAAGTAGGTATTTTACATTTGCTTCATTTTTTTCACTACATACTTTCTTGTTGAAATGTAATGTGATTTAGCAGAAGGTAATAAAAATAGATGAAATGTTAAAACGGATGTAATGCCTACTTTATCTTCCATTGATTTGGAGTGAGAAACAAAAGGAACTTGTGAGTGCCACTATAGAAATTGTTTGACTTTCCTGTCTTAGAAGATGTGATGTTTCTGTGACAGATCTCAGTAGCAGGAGGCAAGGACACAAGACCAGTTACCCTTTTCAAGTCTTTTTGCATGACTGCAGGATGTGTATAGCAACTAAATTGATAAATGCAGTATAAGACCTAGAATAATTAGATATATGTCTTTCCACTTCCATCTACTTTGGTGGTAGAGAGATATAAGTTTCCCACTCTCCAGATCCTCCACCAAAAAAAAAAAGATCAGTTGGCACATTATATTTTGTGATCTGAAAAAGAGTTTTTATAGAAAAGGTAGGTGTTAAGCAAAAGTAGTACCAAAACTAACAGAGCCCACATATATTGCATAGGAAAATGTTTTCACAAAAAGTCCAGTAATTTGATGTTTAATAGGTTTTTCCTTAATCCCTCCTTCTTAGCCAACATTTTTGTTTATCCAACATTCTGCCAGCCCGTTTATGTTGGATAAACGAGACTCTACTATATATGTATGAAATTAGGTACTCACAACAGAATGCTGATTCTGTTGGACAAATATCTGGGTAAGTTCTTTTACTTTTTTTCACTGTTTTTAAGGGGGGTTGGGGAGGGGGTTAGAGCTATCTTGCATTTTCCAGACTGATTCAGCCTGGAAAACATGAGAGGGCTGTGTGGATGGCCCCCTCAGAAGCCCCGGCCTATTCAGGACCTTTTTGTTTGCATTAGGTGTGGTAGACCTTTCAGCAACCTTGCTGGTTAAATGGAAATGTGAGGTTCTGTAAGTGTGTGAGACCAATTAATATTGTATGTTCCCAAATGCCAATGAATATGTTTTTAGGGGGTTGAGAGCAATGAAACAAGTGAGGCATTTTCTTGAGTTGGATATTGGTGTTAAATTCTCCTGCCCAGGTCCTTGTTGCTTTTAGAATTTCTCCAACCTCACAGAAATTAGTAGCAACTGTTCAAGATCATGATCATGTTGCTCCCATGTATTTCAATGGATGAATTGCAGGAAATAATTTCTCTGTCTTATTCTCTATGTTGATAACTCAGTGCAGCATATATTTCTTATCTACTTTTTATGGCGGGGTAGGTTAAATGATGTTCATCTCATTTTTAAAGAAACATATTAAAAATTATTTCAAGAAAGGCAAAGCATGCCCTTGGAAAGCCCTGTATTAATCTCTATAACCCAGGGTTCATTTGCATATGATTAATGCAAAGAACCAACACTCCTTTATCTAATCTATTTGTTTAAAATATTTTGTTTATGCCTTTTGGCTGGCGAAATTATCCTCAGGTCACCTGAAATTATCTGCAGCAATTCCCACTGGCTAAGAATGTTTCCAGTTAGATGGGATTTTAATACATAATTACAGAGCATTAAAGTTACATTCAGTTGCATTGTTGGCATGATAAATATGCACTACTCAACAGCTTGTGTTCCAAAAGGCTATCCTGGGTTTTTTTTACTGGTGTTGAAAACACTGCCAGTGGAAACAATGCAGAAAATCATTAGGGATAAAATGAGGCTGAACTGCCACTTTTCCCTGTTGTGTTTGTCAATATATCTGGTACTAATTTGTTTTTCACCCACTGCTAGCCAGATGGGCCATGACATTTCTCGGGATATCCCTAGAAGCAGGGCATTGTCAACAGTGCCTTATTGAGAACATCAGCACGATAGTGGTTCAGCAATTTCTTTGTAAACAGCTTTCCAGTGTTGAAACTATTTGGCACCAACACAGATTTGCCATGACTTGCCAAGAGCATATATAGTACCCATGATGGTCCTAAATAGATTGGAATATAGTAGTTCACAGGCATATTCTGCAAGCATTATAGCTTTATTTTGTGCAACAAAATGGCTGTGCTAAAGATAAGTGGGCTACATATGGGTGGTTCTGATGGCAGACATCATCCTTGAACACCATGCTTTAATGGGATCATTTGCATTCACAAATTCTTCAAATGTACATTTTTTCATCCAAGAAGGACAGCACATAGTGAAGATTCCAAGTTTTACATAGCTTGTAGTCCATTTGTACAGCATACATTTGTGTCGTATCTTGATAGAAAAGCCAATCTTGATGTTAGGGGAGAGGGGAGTGTCCTAAAGACACCTAGTACTGCAATTGTATTCCCTTTCTCCAAATATTCAATTTTCATACAGTGGTTTCATTAACAGACCTTAGGTAAAAACACATTTTCATAATAAAAGACCTCATGCTTCTTTTCTTTGTGCAGGATCATGTGCAGGATCAAAGTGAACTGAAAAATGTTTATTACTTCAACTTTGGTGCCCACTGTTGAACCTCAATATGCCCACACCTTCCAATAATCCCAATTTTGCAGGGATAGCCTCAATCAATCCTTTTCCACACTTTCAGATACTATTTAAAAGAGGCCAATTTCTCTGTTCTCCAACTTTCTCCTTTTGTTCTCAGTTTACTTCAATACCTGCAAACTAAGTTCAAAGTGCAAAAGTAATTTGCACTCAACTCAACAAGAGGAAAGGAGGGAGAACATCCTGCTTTCCTAGTATCCTCGGTCAAAAGCAAATTACTGCAGCCTCTCCAAGCTTATATGTTTTTTTCTACATTAATACATTTTGTATTTTCATGTGAGGATGTTGCTTGATCACAGCAGTTCCAGTTTCAATATGCAAAATGTTGGAAGGTATTGATATAGGAGGACGGCAGGTTGGCTTTGGGGAATCAGGAAACACCCCCTGGGAGAGCGGTGCCACTCCCCCCAGTAATATTTTGTCTGAAGCAGCCACTTCACCTAAATGTAGAATTGGCCTGAAGTACCTTGTTCCAGTACAATGAACTTTGTCATCCTGATATAGGTATAACATTACTTTCCTATTGTTATATTTTGTGGTGTCATCATTCTTCTTGTATTTCACCATAATTACTCTCTACTTTAAGTAGATAGTTGGAAAGCAGCCTTAGATATATGCCAAATCTTTTTCATGTGATTAGAGCTGAAGGGCAGCACAGGACACCAGAAGACATTTGTACAGTAACCAAAACGTAAACACAGAACACATTAGAGAATAGTTGACAGCATCTTTTATGCCAGCAGGTTGTGTTATCATGCCATGAGCTTCAGAAACTGCCATCAACATTCCTATCATAGCATTTCCATTGTGCTGCCCACTCATCTGGCTCCCACAACACAGCATCTGTCAGTCTTTTAAAAATGTAATTTGTTTTTAGATTCATACATCCATTGTAACTTGGTATTAGGCAGGGCAACCACAGCAAGATACACATATTGTATTTTCACAATAATTTACTTTAATGTATGTGAATAAACACCATTCCTATACATTCCTTTTCCTTTCTCTCTCTCTCTTGCTCTCTGAGTGGTTCTACACAGCCACAAAATACACTACTGTCCCAGGAAATGGTTCCAGGCAGGGACAGAGGCTTCAAATACCTGCTGATTGCAGTTTAATGCGGATCCAGAAATATTGTTTTCTAGAATTTGCTGATTTGCATTGCCAAGATCATTCGGGATCAGCACTACACCAAGGCAGGGCACAGGAAATGGAGAAAAGGGGGCAAAAAGCAAGCATTCCCCCATGGAACTAAATGGTTTCCTCGGGGGATGGGGTGTTTGTTCACCTTCTACCCAGGTTTGCAAAATACATCAGCGCTAGCCCAGCCTAATGAGCACTTGTAGTTTTTGATCTTGGATTCCAGTCCTGCATAGAATATAAACTGACTGGCTGCAGCAGATTTTGTGGATTTTACAGGAATTTCTAGTGAGTTTTTAAATATGTTGTTTCTGTCTTAATGCGTGCTGCAGTGTGCATTGGAGGTGTTCATTTTGTCAACATATCAACCTCGAGCCAGATTCAAGCTGCATTATAGTGCCAGTGTAGAAGTCCTCTTTTGTGTACTGTGATAGTTTTGATGAAGTTGGATATATGTTAGATAGATTTAAGTAATCATTAACAATAACAGTTAATGCTCTGTGTGCACACATATATCTGGGAAAAATAGAATACATGGCATTAATCAGACATGTATTTCTTATGAAAATCCTCAACATCTCCATATTGAACATCCATAGTGCTGTTTTATACCTGAATCCAATTTAGCCTTATATAGAAATCCTCTTTGGTTCCCTCCCTCAACCATTACATTTTCTCTCTTTCTTATCTTTCCAAATCTCAGTAGTATATCTCCCACTCTCTCTTTTTGCCTACCAGATGTTCAATCTGCAGTTTACTTCTTAATATACTCATTTCCTGGACCATAATGTGTGAGTTTTTTTAATAGGTTTAATATACCTGTTATAAATAATATTATGAGAGCCAGTATAGCATAGTGCTTTGTTGGATTAGGACTCAGCCATGGAAACTCACCGCATGACCTTGGACAAATCATATTCTCTCAGCCTTAGAGAAAAGCAAACTCTTTCTGAACAAATCTTACCAAGAAAACCCTGAGAATAACAACTTAGAGTTGCCATAAGGTAGAAGCAGCTTGAATGCACAGGACAACAACATAGTAATATTATAGTAGCTGTGCCCTCTTTTTCTGGAGGTAGGTTCTCTATCTATCTATCTATTTATTTTACAATATTTATATACCACTTTTCTCACCCCTAGGGAAACTCAAAGCAGTCTATAAACTCTCCCCTCCTCTTCGTATATTTTTGGAGATTTTTAAAATATGCATATATAGCTATTTGATCCATAAGTGTTATCTACAAATTGTTAAAATATCATATGTAAAACATTTGATTTGTTGTTTTGGGTCAGAATTTAAAACTGACCCAGGAAGCAGCATTGCTCCAAATCTTCTGGCTTAATAGGTT